GAATAAATTTCAAAGGACAGAGCGGGGTTAAAAATAGGAAAGGTTTACTGGGGAGTAGAAATAGTCCTTGAGAGGCAGGAGTGCCTACTGGGCTGCTGCTGAGGTGGTTTTTCTGAGAATGCTTTATAGGGCAAAATCATGAGGCAGGTATAACATGAGTCAAACTATAATCAACCAGTAAGATTACAAGTATGGCCACTTAGCCAATATTGATCCAATACTGAAGCAGGGCATATAGCAAGGGTATATGAATGACAACATTAACTTTGGCCCACCTGTGACTTCTCAAACAGGAACATTTTGGGGAAGGAATGGGCCTCGGTGGTTTGGTCACCACCCAGGTGTCTGACACATACCTGGTCTTAATGGACTGGATAGTACAAATTATAATTTCAAATTTCCATTCATTCTTTCGAGAAGTATGTGAATCTGGCCATTGAGATTTTAATCTTAAAGGCTTGTCTTCTTCAGCAGTGCCTCCAGCCACAATTCTTTTGTGTGTGTGTGTGTCTGTGTGTGTGTGTGCGCTGGAGATTGAATTCACGACGTCGAGTTTGCCAAGCAGACACTTGAACGCCACTGAGCTAAACCCCGAGCCCCAGCTTCCGCCCCAATTCTGATGTCTTTGCCTATTCACAGATTTCCTAGGGAGTCTGTCCCTTTCTGATTGTATATTAACTTCATCTAATTTAGCTGCCTATAATAGGGTCCCATGCAATGAGGTCAGCTTGGATTTTAATTTGTATAAGCACTTGTGTGCCTATAGTCCCCAGAGTTATGAACATGACCTTTTTTTCCCCTTTGAGCATGACTTTAGAATTGACTGTAAAAAGCTGGGTGTGGTGGCACGCATGCTTGTAACCCCAGCACTCAGGAGGTTGAGGCAGAAGGATCACTGTAAGTTCAAAACCAGCCTCAGCTACAAGGTCAGCCTGAACTGCACAGTGAGACCTCAATCTCAAAAAGACCAAAAAAAAAAAAAAGGTAACACGGTCCTTCCCTTCTTGAAAGGCTAGCACAAAACATGCAGCTATAGTTATAAGACGCCATCGCAAAACAGTGCAGCCCTGGATGGGTGTATTCTTGTCCTGTCTCTGCTTCCTTGCTGTCAGAGATTGAGCAGCTTTCCTCCATCATTCCTTCCACCATGCCATTTCCACCTTGGTTCCAGCCAACAATGGACTGAACTCACTGAAACAATGAACCAAGACAAGGGACAGTCTGGGCCCTGCTAAGAGGCTTACAGGCCAGGTGTGGTGGTGCACATCTGTAATCCCAGCACTTGGCTGAGGCAGGACTGCCATGAGTTTGAGGACAGCCTAAGCTACATAACAAAACCCTGTCTCAAAGAACAAAAACAAAAAAAGAGGCCTCTCATGTTGCTGGTCAACAGACTACAAGATGATTCAGAAGGCTCCACAGTGTTGATGAAACTTACAATTAGTGTATACTTCAGGTGTACCTCCTGGTGCCTCTGAGACAGATTGGAGCAGTCTTGGCAGATTCCAGCAAAAGAAAGCCAAGACTCATTGTATCTTAAGGATCTGTCTTTTGTGTCATTTGGTAAATAAGTCTCCAAAAAAAGAATTTGTAGATTTCAGGGCCCAGGTACTCCAACAATGTCTCAATTCATGTCAGAAACTCCTGGCTGGCCCTGCTTTCCTCCAGATGTCATTTCCCCCCAAGCAAGTAGAGAGGGATTGGGTGTTTCAACTTAAATTAGAACCGTTATTGCAACAGCTTATCAAATTGGCCTAGCATTTAGGTTTCCTCTTAGGGCCTAGAGGCTGGGGACATTTATTTACACAGCTGAATGTTTTTGGGTTGATTTGTGATAATCTATTAAAAGACCCAGTAGGCTTTTCATATGAAATGGTGTCAACACAGAAAACTGTGTCATTTGGTAAATATGGTTTTATTTTTTTTTAAACTTATCTCCCAAAGGATATTTTCCCAAAAATTACTGATGGATTTTCACATATTGCCAATTATATCCTACATGTACACCAAATTTCTTAGGATATATGACCAGATACAAGTATGTTTGGATTAAGCACAAGTAAAGCTGATTCAAAGAATCAAGGAAGTAAAATTAAAGCCAAAAATTAATGTGATGGCTAGCAATTCTTAGTTTCTAAATGGAAATACTACCATATAGAAAATACACTTTATTTCCTAAAGTTTTTTGAGAGAAGAATAAAAACTGATATTAAAACAGCAAGATCTGGAAGCTGAGAACCATTTTATAGGAAATTTGAAAAGCACCTGGGCTACTGCAATTAGCTGTTCTTCTCATCATGTGCTTTTTCTCCTAGCAAATCGAGAAAGCTAAAATTAGCTTTTCTGTCCAGCTTCCACTGTGCTTGCTGCTATGGGGCAAAACAAACACAAAATCTTGTAGTTTGGCAGAAATAACCTATTATTACACTTTTGATTTATCTGAGCAATCTTTAAGATACAACTTAAGCCCTATTCATTTCCTTTGTAAGGTTGTAAGTCCCTAGAATTCTAATCATTCACCCCCCCCCACCACCACCTTTTTTGTCTTTTTGAGACAGGGTCTCTATGCAGTTCAGGCTGGCTTTGAGCTCACTGTGTAGCCTAGACAGGTTTCAAACTGTCAACAATCCTGCCTCAGCCTCCTGAGTACTGGGATTACACATTTCCCATTATTATAGTAATTGTTAATACAATATTTAATATTTTGGCAAATACTTTTTTCAAACTATATTTTTTGTTCTCTCATTTTGATGTTATTCAAGAGTAAAAGTAGTTGACAGCAAAATTTCAACGGCTGTATATGCATAATACCAAACAGTGTCGTCTAAGGAAATACTCTAGGGCTGGGATGTTACTCAGTGGAACTGATTGTCTAGGATGCAAGAGGCCTTGGGTTTGATCCCTAGCAAACTGTACCCCAGCTATGTCAAACTTAAAAGTTTTAACTGATATTTATTTGCAACTTGAGAATTAAGCAATACCTCATTCCACACAATAGAATGAGTGTTCTGTTAAGCTCAGCAGGGGTTTTAGATTCACAGACTAAAAAGATCTAAGAAAATAATAAATAGAATACAAAGGGGACTGGTATTTTCAAAATTATTCTTCTTATAAAGGTTAAAGCATATAAGATTTGCTTGGAAATGTGGATATTCTACTTTCTAATTTTTCTCAAAGCCAGATAAACAACATGGTTTCAGCTTTAGATGAGCAATTTAGTGTGATTCTATTTTGGTCTAGTCTAGTGAGCAGGAACTCAGCCCAAAACAATGGCTTCCTCTCACTTTGTTTTTTACATTTTTTTTTCTCGGTACCGGGGATCGAACTCACGACCGCCTGCTTGCAAGGCAGGTGCTTATGCCGCTGAGCTAAATCCCCTTCCTCTCACTTTTATTTAACATATTTATTTAACAACACCAAGGACAACATACATGTTAAATGAGAAAAATGCAGTGAGTGGCTATTTACATTTAGACTATAGTTAAGCACTTTATCAAAGGATTACAATGAAAAGTTTCCTTTAGTTGAAGATACCGTTTCATATTTTCTTTGTTAACATTGTGTAACCATCTTATAGGTTTATCAACTGCGTGGATCTATCTAGGAACCAAGGGCCCATTTTAAAAAAAAGATTTTAGCCGGGCGCGGTGGCACACTCCTGTATGCCAGCTCCGGAAAGGCAAAGGCAGGAGGACTGCTGTGATCTCCAATGAACACACAGGGAGTTCAAGACTAGCCTGGACTACACAGCTAGACCCTGTCTCAAAAATCTAAAAAGACATTTTAGTATATGGGTTACTCAAGTGTGAACAAAAATAAGTGTTTGGTAAATAACCATCGTCAGTATTTTCAAAGCCATCATAAACCAATCCCTTACACAAAACACAAGTGTTGGGGACACAGTTCAGTGACAGAGGAGTGAGTTCAATTCCTAGTGCAGGAAACAAAATAAAACTCAAAACCAAAATTACCCCAGCACTATTAGGCGAAAGACTGCATGTGCAAATGTGACTAATCAGCATATTTAAGCATCGGTCACGCTGTTTTCAGACATACACTGAAACTATTTTTAATTTCCCCTCGGTTAAGGATTAAAATCTCATGATAAACATTACTTCTTTCATAGCACATCCTGACAACACCACACTCTAGAAAGGGCAGGTAGTGAAGACCGAATTCTTGACGGAAATATTTTGTGGGGGAAAAACTGCTGAAAACTCCAAGATTTTTTTGAGGGTTGGGAAGAAACCGGGTCCTCCCCTTGGGTGGCTACGAGCGGCCCCACTGGGACGGAGGGCGCATGACGTCATAAACCGCTCGGGCGCCGCGCTGTTGCCATGGAGGCCGCTCCGCCCCCAGTAGTCAGGTCTCCGCGCCGGTGCCCGCATCCCTGCCGCATTCAGCAGGCTGCCGACTGCGAGATGCCACAGGAGAGCTGCTGGCGAAGACAGTGGGATCCCGGTGCCCCATGAGCCTCGGGTGCGGCTCCAATCCGGACCGAGGAGAACTGCGCACGCCATCCCTTTCCCCAGGGCCTTAAGAGACTAGAAGCCTGACGCAGGCGCAGAGCCACCTCCCTGCCAACCCACGACGGAGAAGCAGCTTGACCCACAGCGCAGCTCCGGGGTTCCAAAGTGAGGGTCCATGGCCGCGGAAGGGGACGGGGGCTCCGTGTGCAGAACCGTTCAGGAGACACAGAGAGGAAGCCTGCAGCCCCGCCCGGAGCCCGGCTCCGGAATGGCCTCACTCCTGAGAATCGGCGGGGGCGTGGCCGGCGAGGGGGGCGGAAAGGATAGGAGAGCCAATCGCTTGCCGCTTGCCTAGCCCCGCCTCTGCACTTTGCCCTCGCGGGGGCGGAGAGTTGTCTTGTCCTCAAGTTGGCGCGGCCGCGAGGTCTCGCGCTCTGCCACGCCCCCCAAGCCCCGCCCAGGCTCCGCCCCCTCCCTCTCGCGCGCCGCTTCCTGAGGAGATTCCCTTCCCCCTCCGGGTTCGCATAGGGAGTCGGGGCCCGGGCCGCCGCTGCCACCTCCTCGGCCGCCGCCATCACCTTGTTCCTCACCCCTCACCATGGCAGAAGAGCTCTTCGCGGCCACTTCCTACACCGAAGACGATTTCTACTGTCCCGTCTGTCAGGAGGTGCTCAAAACGCCTGTGCGAACCGCGGCCTGCCAGCACGTGTGAGTAGACGCCCTGTCCGCCGCGCGGCCCTGGGCCCCGCCGCGGACCCCGACCCCTAGCCCCGGCCCGGGCCGAGCCGAGCCGCTCCGCCGCTACACGTTCTGGCCCGTCAGGGCCGGCCACCTCTCCGAAGCTGGGACCTGTGCGCCTCCGGCAGCCTGGCAGCCCTCAGGCCTGCGCCCAGGACAGAGTCTGGCCTCCCGCGGTGTCCGGGCCCCGCGCCCTCCGCCAGGCCCGGCCCGCGTCGCGGGGACCCGGGAGCCTTTGTGTTTCCTAGCAACGTGGGGTGTCGGGTGTCAGAGTACGCCCGGGCACCGGTGCTCGCGGACCTGCCCTGCTATAAAGTTTTGTCTTCCTTTTTCAAAACCTCAGTCCATTCCTCTTGGATCCAAGAGTTCTTAAGCTAATCTTCCAACCCTTCTTCAGACCACCCGGGAATGTGTTTCGTTCCGTGCAAAATTCGGTAACATGTTATGAAGGCCTAAACAGAGTTTTCTAATTGCGCATGTTGGAGCTGACAGGATTTCCGGATATTGAAATGATGTTTTTCTTTGTGTTACCTTTCTCATTATTATTATTCCGTTACTGCAGGAGTGGAGGTAACAAGTTCTGTCCTGAGGACTGGGCCAAGATGTGTCACTAACACTGAAAGTTGAAGAACAAGGAGCTTAGGTGAAGCCACATGGCATATTTATAGTCAGAACTTGATCATTTTCTAGGATGTCTGTGTCAGTAATGGCTGGAAGGAGACCTTAAAAACTTACATTGCATCCGTGTATATCGGTGCGGACTTTCAGTCTCAGCACTCAGAGGCCGAGGCCAGGGGGATTACCAAGAGCTTCAGGCCATCCTGGGCTATATAGTGAGTTTGGGGCCAGCCTGAAGTACATAGTGAGACCCTATCTAAAAAGAAAAGAAAAAGATATATCACTGTTCTAATAAATCTGGCTGGTGACCAGAGTCCCTGGGGAACTCTTAAAGTAAACATAACAATTCCTAGGCTCTATTCCAAATTCACAAAAGAATTTAAGGTAGGTGGAGCCTTGGAAATCTTTTTTTTTTTTTTTTTTTTTTTTTTTGTCTTTTTCGTTTTTATCGGTACCAGGGATCAAACTCACGACTGCCTGCTTGCAAGGCAGATGTTTATTGAGCTAAATCCCCAGCCCCGGAAATCTTTATTTTTTAAAAAATGCACTTGATCTTTAAAGTTTATGCTTGCAAACAGCTGAACATAATTGAACAAGTTTCTAGATATATATTTTTCTCCTTCCACTTTCTTTTTTGAGAGATGAGGTCTATAATTTTGCAAAGAATTGGTAGAACTTTGGGTTTGCTCGCTCTTTCTTTCTTTTTACAGAGGGTTACTATGTAGTCTGGGCTGGCCTTGAACTTCTGGTGGTCCTCCTGCCTCAGCCTTCCTAGTGCTGAGAGTGCTAGAATTGCAGGTGTGTGCCACAAATGATTTCTTAATACTTAGTTCTTAAGTCCTAACTGCACTGTATTCCTCTGTGATCCAGGAGTTGTGGCTTTTGTAATAGAAATTAGGTCACTTATTTAGATTTTTAAACGAAATGAACCAAACCTGGTGGTGCATGCTTATCATCCTAGCTTTCCAGAACCTGGGGCAGGGATACTGTGACAGGAGAACCACTGGAAGTTTGAGATCAGTCCAGGCTACCTAGTAAGTTCAGGGCCAGTCTGAACTACATGGCCAGACCTTGTCTCAAAAAATCAAAAAAATTCTAAAAAATAAGTAAATTACAGCCTGAAATTATTTTTTTTTTGTTCAAGAAGGATATGTTAAAACATTTTAATTAAGAAACAATTGTAAGTGCTGTACTGCAACAAGTGGAAAGAAAAGAGGGAGAGCATACAGCGGTGAGAGGAAGTGGTAGTGGTCTCTAAAGGCATTTATGTATAGAATCAATGATTTCAGCTGTCTTTTGGGTCATTGCATAAAGCTCATCAATTTTAGCTCCTCTAATACTCCATGCAGATTGCTCTAGTCTACTTCCCTTGTGATAAATCAAGGACTATAATTTGTGTTGACCTCAAGGCTTTAAAAAAGAAGTAGGGGGGCTGGGAATTTAGCTCAGCGGCATAAGCACCTGCCTTGCAAGCAGGCTGTCGGAAGTTCGATCCCCAGTACCCATTAAAAAAAAAAAAAGGTTAAAAAAAGTAAAAAAGAAATAGGAGGGCTGGGGATATAGCCCAGCAGCCCAGTGCCTTCCTTTGCTAGAATGAAGTCCTGAGTTCAATTCTTTGGTACCCACAAAAAAAAAGAAAGAAAGAAATTGGAGATGGCAGGGTTTTTTGTTTTTTTGTTTTTTTCCTTTAAATTCAGGACCTTTGTCAGATCATATCATTATGCTTTCATGTGATTATAGCAGCACTGTACCTTCAGTCTTCGACATAGGTACTTTAAAGCTGTGTCTGAAGAGTGAATTAAAGAATAGGCAAAGGAAGAAAACACTTTATTTGAAAGGGAAGTAATAGTGGAATAGAGTCTGGATTGCTTGTAGAATTTCAATGGGAAAATGGATTATTTTTAAATAATACAACTGGCTGTGTCATTCACCTACTGTTTTTTGCAAAAAACAACATTGTGTTACAGTTTGGTATTGTGCTGCAAAATCAGATTGGGGGAGGCGGGGTAGACTGGGTGTAGAATGTAGGGCTTTAGGCATGTATTTCTGTAGAATCAGGTTTTTTTTGTTGTTTGGGGGGAGCTTTTTGAGACAGGGTCTCACTAGGCAATTCAGGCTGGCATTGAGCTCACTTTGTAGCTTAGGCTGGTCTTGGACTTTCAGCAATCCTGACTCAGCCTCTCATGTGCTGGGATGATAGGCTTGTGCCATCACACCAGCTTTTTTTCTTTTCTTTTTTTTTTTTTTTAACAACTTAAATTTATTTGGTATTTTGAGACAGAGGCAATGCTCTTGCTTCAGCCTCCTCAGTGGTGGGATCACAGATGGCTCCACCATCAGTTTTTGATTTGTTGATAGAATGGGACAATGTGATAAGGACTTTGGGTCATGATGGGTCCGTTTTCAGTAACAAGAAAGGATTTGTCTATGATGGTCCTAGTCAAAGGAGCAAACTTATTATTCATTAGAGTATTTACCAAAATAGAAGTTTTTCACAGTGAATCCCTTTCATTCTTCCAAATAGACACTGTCCAATGCTTTCTGTCTGCTTGGTGCAAGGAATAGTAAGTCCTCTTTCCTTGGTCATGTTGATAGCAGAATAGAAAACTTGTAAGAGTGTGATTGACATGGAGAAGATTTAGGTAGGAAATGAAAAGACCATTAATTAGCTGTATCTAAATCAATTTATAAGGAAGATTTTCACAGAAAATACTCTGATTAGATTTATATCCATATATTGAGGTATGGAAGAGGTATGGCTGAATCGTGATTTTTACCTTTTGGCAATAAAGAATGAAAGTAATGGAGATGGAGTTTAGAGATATTGTCAGGAATAACCGTATAAGCCAATTTGCCTGTTTCCATATAAATTATAGAGACCTGTTAAATAATCTTTGGCAAGGAAGCAGCCTGGTCAGTTTTAGAAAGTTTAGTGTCAGGGTTCAGATTGGCATTGGTGACTTGTGAAGATGTTGATGACACGATCATGTATCAGTGAAAGAAATGATTAGAACCTCAACTAAGGAAAGTGAGAATGGAGAGAAAAGACTCCTGACATTTTACTGGACATGTATAAAATCTAAAATATGACTTATATGTTCAAGAATTTAAATGTGTATATTGTGTACAGATCTGGAATATATGAAGCTAAAGCTTTGGGACAGAGCCGCCACGGCAGAGTACATAAACTGAAAGAAGAAAGCTTAGCTAGAATAAAATGCTGGAGAAAACTTATTAAAATACTAAGTAAAGAATAGTAGTCCGGGAAAGACAAAAAAATGGAAAGAAAACCACAGTAGTAACCATAGAACCTAGAGAAGACTTTCAGTAAGGAAACAGCAGTGTCAGCAAAGGAGTCAGATGCAACATTTTGAAAAACATAAAGACATAAGAATATAAAAATTGAACAGGGGGTGGGGTTTTAGCTCAGCAGCGTAAGCACCTGCACGCAGTCATGAGTTTGATCCCCAGTACCAAAAAAAAAAAAAAAATTGAACAGTAATTCAAATTATGGTTTCAGAAGAAAACTAAGAAGTGGCACAGAGATAGATAAAGCTCAGTACTTTCACTTTGTAAGGCTCTATGAACCCCATTTCTGTACTGAAAAGTAAAGGAGATACCTCTTATACTCTAGTGGACTGTTCTAGAGCCAATGAAAATTGCATTTAACAACAAATTTGATTTCTTATTGAGCTCAAAAAAATAGAAATCTAATCTACATAGCTTTGAGGTATGTCTGAAAGGAAAATCATTAGATAGGAGTTAATACTGCTTAGCTTCTATTACTCATTTGTATGATTTCCTAATTGATCTGTTTAGACTATCTTGACCCTGAAATTTCAGTTCATTTTATTCTGTCTCTTTCTCCCCCCTCCCTCCTCCCTCACTCCCTCCCTTCCTCTCTTTTTTCCTCTTTCCCTCTCTCCTTCTCTTCCTCCCTCTCTTTCTCTCCACTCTTTGTTGTTTTTGATTTTGGTACTGAGGGTTGAACTTAGGGTCTTCTACTTACTGTACTATGTCCTCAGCTCGTTTGTTTTTTTTTTTTTGTCTTTCTCGTTTTTATTGGTACCAGGGATCGAACTCAGGACCACACACTTGCAAGGCAGGCACTTACGCTGCTGAGCTAAATCCCCAGCCCCCTCGGCTCGTTTTACATTTTCTAAAATTTTGGAACAAGGTCACCCTAAGCTATAAAGTTGACAAGTATACACTATCACACTTGACTCAGTTCCTATTTCTTTAAAAATACTACATTTTTTTGGTATTACTGAATCCAGACCCTCACAGTGCCATGCAGTGGCTCTACCTATATGCTATATCCCTAGCCTTTTTATTTTTTTAGTTTGAAATAGGGTTAGTAGCTAAGTAGCCCAGACTGGCCTAGACCTTGTGATTCTTCTGCCTCAGACTCAAGTAACGGGGATTGGAATTACAGGAATGCTGTGTTTCTTAATTTTTATCAGTTTTATTGGGTAGTCATGCTCTAAAGATATGGTTCTAAGATTTCTGTTCTACAGACTTGTTACAATTGTGAAAGCTAGGTTTGTTTATGTTCTTGTTGATGTAATCCATTCTGCAGTCTATGTCTTGTGGTAGGTGAATTGAGACCATAAAGATTGATGGTTATAACTGATAGGTTTTGTCTTGTCTTTGTCTTGTTATTTTCCTGTTGTTTCCCCACCTTTTCCCCCCTCCCTCTGGTTGTTTGCTTCCCTGGTGGATTCTTTTTGTTGGAGTTTGTGGAGTTGTAGTCCTAATTATCTTTCTATAATGTCCTTCAGAATATTTTGGAGTGCTGGTTTGGTGGTCATAAATTTCCTCAGATGTTCTTTATAATGAAAGTATCTTATTTCTCTATCAATTTTGAAAGATAGTTTTGCAGAGTGCATCAGTCTGGGTTGAAAGTTGTTTTCCTTTAGAACTTGGAGTACTTTATTCCCAGCTCCCCTTGACTTGAAAGTTTGTGCTGACAAGTCAGCTGTGATTCTGTTGGGCTTTACTTTAAAGGTGATTTCTTTCTTTTCC